TGGAAAGTGGAAGGGGTGTGTAAGAAGAATGAAATGGCAATGAGATGAGTTTTCTGTTTTTAATGTTTTAGCCTAAGGGCAGACTCCAGTCAGTATAGTGGGGCACACAAACTTAGCAGCTCAATACTTATAAAGTGAATAAGGAAATCCCAAAAAGGACAGAATCAAGAGTCAGTGTATAAACTACCCAACCCTTAGACTAATCCCTAAACCATTCCTGTATGATACCGAATCCCAGAAACCCTGCTAAAGCTAAATGAAGAGAGATTCTAGCTGTTGCCATGGAAGAGGAATTTGAAGTTTAAGGAGCTGAATCTAGTAAATTGCCTGCTTAACACCCAGCAAGGAGAACTTTCTTCTTAGGAATATAACAGAATCTGAAATCTCTACAATGTATTACTCATAATGTCCAGGATATAATTCAAAATTATTAAACATGCAACAATCTAAGAAAGTGTGACTTATTCACTGAAGACTAAAATAATTCATATATTTAATTTATCATATAAGAATTTTAAAGCAGTTAATATAACTTCATTCAAGGATATAAAATAAAATAAACCTGTAACAAATGACAAATAAAACATAAGGCTAGATAAACAGAAACTATAAAAAACTTAAATGGAAAATATAAAACTATCAGAAATAAAACATTACTGGATGGATGTAACAACAGATTGGAGCTGACAGAAGAGTCAGGACATAAAGCAAGAACAATAGAATTTCTCCAACTTAAAGAATAGAGAGAAAAGATTAAAAGAAAAATTAAACAGCCTCAGGTACCTGTGGAACAGTATCAAAGTAACAAATATGTACTTGGAGTTTCAAAAGTGAAGAATAGAAAGAATAAGGCAGAAAAAATATCTGAAGAAACAAATGCTGAAAATTCCCCTAAATTGGTTAAAGACATAAATCAATATTGAAGAAGCTCAGTGAACTCTAAGCAGGACAAATTCAAAGCAAACCATGTATATGTTTATCATGGTCAAACTGCTAGAAAACAAATTTATAGATAAAATCCTGAAAGCAACCAAAGAAAAATAACACCTTACATACACAGAAGCACAGTACAAAATCTGCAGGCATATAATTACACATAATAAATGCCAGAAAATAGTGGAATTATAGCATTAAAGGCCTCAAAATAAAACTGCCAATCCAGAATTCTATATCCAGTGAAAACATCTTCCAGGAATAAAGGAGAAGTAAAGATATTTCCAGAAAGATGAAAACTAAGAGAAACCATTACCAGCCAACCTGCACTATTAGAAATGCTAAATAAAATCTAGTAGAACAACAACAAAAAAATGATATCAGAAGAAAATTCTGATAATAAAAAAGAAATGAAAAACAGTGGAAATGGTCGATGTTAAGGTCTCTTTTTTCTCTTAGTTTTACTGAAATACATTTGATTATTTAAGGCAAAAAATAGTATTATGGCTTATAACATATGTAGATGTAAGTTGTTTGACAATTATAGCTTAAAGAGCAAGAGTAAAGTAATGGACCTATACAAATAGTCTTATATTATACATGAGTAAAGTAGCACAATAATAATTCCAAGTACACGGAAAACTTAAGAATGTATACTAGAAAAAATGATGTAAGGAGACATCACTAAGACATCAGTAGATAAGTTTAAAAAATTTTTAAAAGAAGACACAATGAACCCAAAAGAAGATAGGAAAGGAAAACAGAGAAACAGAAACAGGGAGAACAAGCAGAAAAAAAAGAAAGAAAAATAGTTGACTCTATCCAACCATTTCAATAAATACATTAAATATCATGGAATTAAAGACTATAATTTAAAGATACACAAAGGAAAAATAAGAAAAAGCAAGACCCAATTATTTATTGTCTACAAGAGATGTATTTTAAATATTAAAGATAAAGCTATAATGAAAGGAAATGGATAGAAAAACATATCTATGTATATAAAAGGCTAAGCGACCATCCGACCAGCCGGTAGGTATGATGCACACTGACCACCTGGGGGCAGACGCTCAATGCAAGAGCTGCTGAGCTGTGGTGACTTGGCAGCGGTAGTTCTCAGGTGACATACCCCAGAACCAGAGAGGAGGGAGCCCGATTTCTCAAAGGGTTGTGCTATTCCACCTTCAGCCATGGGTTATGTTGTTGCTGGGGCACTGTTGGCCCCGAATCTGGTTTACTGCCAAGCTGCGGTGACTGTAGATACCCTTTGAGCTGCAGCGCCGCCCCAGATGCGCTGGCCAGGTAGGGACCACAGGAGGTTGGCTCCAGGGTGTGTCCAGCCCATCTCACCCAGTCCCACCCCGCCAGCCACCTTCTAATTAATTTCCTTTCAATGTGCACAAATGCATGCACCGGGCCACTAGTCTATATATATAAAAGGCTAATATGGAAAGTGTCCCTGTGGGAGTTTGACTGGGAGACCGGGAGTTCTATCGCTCGCTATGACGTGCGCTGACCACCAGGGGGTGGAGCAGAATGGAGGCTCCGATTGGCCCTGATCGCCAGCCAGGCCTAGGGACTCTACCCGTGCACGAATTTTGTGCACCGGGCCTCTAGTATCATATAAATAGCACAATAAGGCTGTAATGGCCAAAAACTGGAAACAGACTAAATGTTTACCAAAATAGAGTTCAGGATGAATATTATTTATAAAAGAGAGATTTTATAAATATAAATAAGTGGGGAGATATGCCATGTTCATGGATTATAATACATACTTGGTATTGTTAAGACATTCAGATCCCCAAATTGAGTAAGCATTCAATCTAATCCCTTTCGATTCTTTCATATTATATTTTATTTTTTTCTATCACCATTTATCCCGTCTATGCTATCTCCCCCCTACATCTATTTGCCTCCCCTTTGCAAACACCACATTGTTGTCCATGTTCAGAGTTCTCTCTCCTTTTCTGCTCACTCCCTCTACCCCCCAACACCACCTCACAGCCTGCCCCTGCCAACACCAGAGCTGTCTGCCTGCTCTCTATCCCTTTCAAAATCCCACTAGGCTTTTCTTTCTCTTTTCCCTTCCTGCCTTTGTCTCTCTCCCTCCCTTTCTCTCTCTCTCATTCTTTTTGATAGAAACTAACAAGTTGATTCTAAATTTACATTCATGCAAAGGGCACAGAAAATCCATATTAAACCTGAAAAATAAAGTTTGAGAACTTACACTACCAAACTTAAAGTCTTATTAAAAAGCTATAGGAATCAAGAAAGATGATACTGACAAAAGGATTGACAAATAAATCAATGAAACAAAACTGAAATTCTAGAAATAAATCCACATAGATAGGTAATCATGGATTATCAACAAAGCTACCAAAGCAATCCAATGGGAGAGAAGTGTCTTCAACAAATGGTTCTGCAATAACTAGATATCCATATGTGAAAAAGCTAACTTGGCCTCAATTCATACAATATGCAAAAGTTAATCTGACTTGATTAATAGAACTAAATATAAAAATTAAGCTATAAAATTTCCAGAAGAAAACATAAGAGAACATCATCATGGTTTGGGAGTAGCTAAAGATTTCTTAGGACACAGAAAGCAATAAAAATAAAATAAAGAATTGGATAAATTAGACTTCATCAGAAGTTCAAAACTTCCGCTCATCAATACACACAAAGTCTTGTTACATAGGATACATAAAGAACTTCTACCAGTTGGTAATAAAAGATAACTCATCCTCAAAAATACTGTGTAAAGGATTTGAAGAGACTCTTCCCTGAGGAATGTGTATAAATGGCCAATCAGCACATGAAAAAAATGCTCAACATCATTACTCACCTGGGAAATGCAAATTCAAACTATAATGACATACTATTAAGTATCCATTAGAAGGGTTAAAAGTAAAAACAATGACAATGCCAAATGATGATGAGCACATGGAGCAACTGGAACTCTCAGATATTGCTGGTAGAGGTAAAAATGATAGAACCATTTTGGAAAAAAATCTTTCTTAAAAACTGAACATATACCTACTCTGTGACCCAGTAATTTCATTCTTAGCTACTTACCTAAGAGGAAAAAAAGCATTTTTCCATGAGGACTTGCACAATGTTCATAACAGGTTTATTCATAATACCTTAAAAACTGGAAACAGACTAAATGTTTACCAAAATGAGAATGAGTAGACTGATATATTCATACAAGGGGACATTACTCAACAATAAAGAGAAATACATTATACTTCTACTGAAAAATATAAATTTCAAAAATATCCTGAGTGAAAGAAATTTCACACAAAACGTATACACACTATCTGAAGTTTAGAACAGAAAAAAATTCATCTGTGATGGAAAAAAATCAATCAGACCAGTCATTCCCTTTTTGAGAAAGATGGCAAACATTGACTGGCAGGAGGCATGAAAAAATTTTCTCAACTGGTGGTACTGTTTTATACCGTTGAAAGGGCCTAGAAAACAACAGTCTTATATATTTGTCAAAATTCATCAAGTGGCATATTTAAGAACTGAGTGGTTCACTGTGTATACGTTTTACCTTTAAAAAAGAACCATAAACAAATTATACATAATGAAGCATTTAGGCATGAAACGTATTGATGTCTGCAGCTGTCTTTGCAATGTATCAAAAAAATCAAACTGACGGATAGATAAAGGAACAATCAGATGCATAGATATAGTAATTGTAAATATATAGTTAACATAGTAAATATAGTAAAATATTAATTGTAGAATCTAGATGGCAGATATATGGTATTCATTCTACAAGTCTTTCAACTTTTGTATGTTTGAAAATTTTAAAATAAAATGTTAAAATTTCCAATGTCTTGCTTTATCCAGAAGAAAGCTGTTCAAGTTTGAGTAGAAGTCATTAAGTATAATTAAGTATAAATTGGCTGCTTCTGAAAATTTGAATTATGAGACAAACAGCACATTTTCCCTATCTCTGAAAAGACTCAACAAGGCTTTTCTCTCAAAAATAGAAAGAGAGAGAGAGAGAGAGAGAGAGAGAGAGAGAGAGAGAGAGAGAGAAAATGACTGACCTTTTTTCTTTTCCTTTGCTTGGTTTTTGCTGAGTCTTGTCCAGCACTCCCATTCCCGAGGGATCCTGCTGTGGCTTTCCCTGCATGCTGTGGTCCAGAGGATGGAGCTGTTGGTGTAGGAGGAGGTGTATTCTCAGGGGAGTCTGGGTAGGACTTCATGCAAGATCCCTGCCCAAAGAGATGTGGCTTTGAAATCAAGTGACCAGGACTTCTCCTAACATTTGATTTTGTTTAGTATCTCATGAATTTAACACTAGTTGAAGCTTACAAATATACAAACACAACTTATTATCACCAAGTTCACAGGAATGGTGCCTCCATCTTGCCCCTAAAGGGTCTAAATATCTTCATGTATAATTTGTCTAATCACTTAGATATAATCAGGAGTCTTCAGATACAGCTTCTAAACTTCCTGTGGATTTTGTCAGATATAGACATTTCTACCTGGAAGTTTTGTTAGCGTTTAAAACTTACATGTTTCAAAAGGAACCTCTAAACTTTCCCCCCAAAACTGGACACCTTTCAGACATTTTTTTTTGTATCAGTGTTGACCAGCCCTCTCCCAGTGTCTCAGGGTCACTGTAGAGACCTCTGGCTCCTCCCACATCTAATTCCTTCCTTCTTTCAGAAACCCCTCATATCTATCTGGTTTCATTGGCTATGACTGTAAGTCTATTCTCTCTGCTATGTAGAAGTACTTCAAATATTTAAAAATCATTATACTTCACAGCCTTTTCTACAGGTCAAACACCTCAGGTTCCTTCAACCACTGGTACATGTTTTCAGGTTCCTTCACTCCCTGTTCACTTTCCTTAGACATCCTCCACTGTGTGGAGGCACCCTATAAGATGGTGCCTAAAAACTAAATCCAAACAAAGCAAGCTTCCTTACTGTAACATCATAATATCGGCTCCTAAGAAATTTATAGGCAAATAAAAGTCTCTTTTTTACATATGGTATTAATAACCTGTCATCCTATCAACCATACATACTAACCATACTATCTACTCGCCTACGCTTCTCTATAATTTAAAAAAAAAATACGCTAAACTTTGTAAAATGTTTTGCTGAAATTCAGATATTGGTTTCTTTGATCTGCATGCCTAGGAACATTATCAAACAGGAAGGATAAAGCTAATCTGGCATAAGGTGTCCTTAGGAAAAACAAGATAGCTCCTAAAAATCATTGCTTCCTGTGCATAAGCCATATGCTAGAAAAAAAAATCTAGAAAATTAACTTGAATTACTATTAAACTTGCTAATTTAATATGAGAAACCCAAACTGAAATAGCTCAGTTCTTTATAACACTTAATGCTTAAGAAATGATAATCATTAAGATAGAATGCATTTTGTATTAACTTCATGCCTTAAGTTTCCAATTCCAATTCACTGTACATAGCACCTCCACTTGGATTTTCTTCAGACACCTATTTGAGCCAAGAAATCTTCAACACTTCCTTCCTTAATAGCTAAGTGTCTAAGGCATTAATTGTCTAATCTGACTTTCTACTACCCCTCCCCAATGAGTCCTTTCCTTGAATATTTTAATCAGAGATTTTTCTTTCTTTGTACAATTATACTGATGCTGCCTCTGAGGCCGAGTATTCTCCCCACTTTTACTGTCTCATCAAAGTCCTATCTCTCCTTCAACACCCAGCTTCCTCTTTGAAGTCTTCTTTGATTGTAATTAGGAAGTGATTTTTACCTTCACTCTGTCTATGCCACACATTTGGAAATTAGTATATGCCATCTTGAACTGTGTGTGCTTGCTCATTTCTTTCCTTGTTTGTTTACCTCCCTGAATAGAGATCATATCAGTCTCCAGAGTTCCCCTTTGCATCCAAAGAGGTCAAGTCCTTAAAGCTGGCCCTGATATTGGTTGCTGATTTATAATGGTGATGAGTAAGACTCTGACTTTGGAGTGGCCATTCTCTTTGCGTTTAGTGAGGTGACCAGCCCTCTGAATACTCCCAGTCCCCCTGAATGTTCATTTTGACTACCAGTCACCTAGGAGGATGGGTGTCTGACAGGCAAGAGGAAAGTTTGGGGCTTGTACTAACATATTTAGTCAGGATGCTTTCTGAAACTCCTGCTTGCACCTCCCAGAGAGCCCAGGAGCCCAGCACACATAGACCATTTTTCTAACTGCTGGTAGCTGGGAACAGCGGCTGTGGTTGCTGAGCAGCTGCCCAGGGCTGCTCGGCCACCCTGGAGAACCAAGAAAGGGGAGAAATAGAGAACTTTCCTAGCCATGCAAGCAATCCTTGAATGTTAAGAGAAAACTAGGCTTGTTATGTTCACTGTACATTTCTTCAATTAGAAATGTTACAACAAATTTGTGTGATGTTAATGAAAAGCATACTTATACGCATATTCATAAAGGGAACATGTACCAAAGACCTATTAAAGGGTGTTCTTTGACATCATAATTTGGGCTTGTAACATAAACAAATAGTGTTTAATCAACCGGGTAATCTTTAGGGACTTTAAAAGTATGTTGACTGATAATGATGTATGAACTTTCCCAAGAAAAAAAGGATTTTTAATAGGTGTAAACATTTTAATTTCTACTTGGATTCCAAGCCAATATGATTCTTTAAGGAGCATAAAAAGATGTCAAATTTTTGGACTGTAATAATATGCTGTATAGACATATATAGTCATGGACTTACTAAGTAACCTAGAGCAGAGTTACTTAAAGTTGGAGTCCCTAGGGTTCACAGATCCCTTAGATCCATAGAATGGTTTCAGAGGGTCTTTGAACACCCTGAAATTGTATACAAAATCTGCAAATGTGTTTATGAGGAAAGGGTTTATAGTTTTCATCAAATTATCAAAGGGGCTTATCCATTTTTAGGTTATATGTTTCACCCAACTTGATCTACAGCTTATTTCACAATTATACATGTAGATGTTAACCTAACTTCCGTGCTGCCTTCTCTATGGTTCTTAGGCTGAATTATATGAAACTGCTAGTAAAAAAGGTCAAATATTAGTAAATTCATTCAATGGATGATACTACATTTCTAGTTTTTAGGTACAGGCTGCTTTACAGAGAATATTTTTTATACTGAAGTTATACAAAGCCTTAAAGTGGGCACGAAGACTGCAGTCCCCACAGGTGGGGATCTCAGCAAGAGAAACTGGATCAGAAGAGATGTGATCCTCATAGGATAGGGCCAATCTACACCAAAGGATAAATGGAGCTGTGCTTCTGTAAACCATGTTTGGAGATGGTTTAATAACCAGAATGTAAAATCATCAATAAATGTCAGGAATTAATATTATATGACTAATAATCCTCTCACCTGTGAGGCACAAAGAGATAAATAACTTTTCTCAATGGTATTCAATTACCAAAACCAGTGGTTCATCTCCCATGGAAATGAGAAATGCCCTGTAACAATTTCTCTTTAACTGAAGGGCTAGGAAAGTGAAATAAGATAAGGAAAAAGTTCATAGTATTAAGTGGATGTTAGGATCAGGCACATAGCAGGTTCTCAATAAATATTTGTTTGAATGTTGACTGAATTCAGATTCTTTGAGTAAAGGCCACAAATGCCAACATAACCTTTTCAAAAGAACTATTTGTATAAATATTGGACATGAGGAAAAAATCCATATTAGTGCCAGACAGATTTTTCGATACTTACCTCGGCAGAGCTGTGATACTGAATGAAGGCGGCCGAAATGGCGTGGCTGAACGGGTCTCCTGCCTTGGTTCCCATGTCCTGCCTCACAAGTAGAGCCAGATCCACTAACTAGGAGATCGGAGCAATGGAAACAAAGTCAGGTAACTGGGAACAATAACCTGTGTCACTGAAGTGGCAAACAAAAAGCAGTCCATTCCAAATGTCTTTGAGAATACTGTCTGCCTAAAAGTCTACTGTGGACATGAGCGCATGCTTTCATTGACTGGTATACGGACTTCCCATGGACAGAAATGATATATGCTGACCTTCCAGTGGAGTGGTTCACAAACTTTATTTCATAATCACTAGACAATCATTTTAAAATAAAGATTTCTGGGCTTTAGGCATATGCTGCTTTATAGAGAATATTTTTACTGCTGAAATTATACAAAGCCCTCATACTCTAATTCAATAGGTCTGCTCTGGGGTGTCATCTAGTAATTTACATTTTAAACAAGAACCAAGGAGATGCTGATGCTTGTGGTCTAAAGACCAGGTTAGAGGATGGAGTCTAGACTCAGATTTTTGCACCCATTCAAGTAGATTGAACATATTTAGAAAAGTATTTGGAGATCAAAAATAATCTCTAAACATGGCAGATGTGTGCGTGGAATTCAATATTGAGAAAAACTATGTAGGGTTTTATTTCTGGTTAGAATAAAGTTGCAAGAAATAGTTACTTTTACCCTAACCACCAACAGAGCGGAGGAAACAAAGAAACATAATTGAACTAAATCTCCGAAAATGGTAAGATTGTCATAGCAGAACTCCTGGGTGTTCTCATCCCTGGTGGAGCAGCAGGTGGAGTCATGGACAGGGCTAAGGAGAAAGCAGCCATGTAAGGGCTGATATGACAGATTAGAATTCTTACCTGTGCCACAGTTTCATACGCTAAATATGCCAAAATTTCCATAGCGGTAACATTGGGTTTTATCTCCATACTGCTACAGTCCAACCAGTCTCGAAATTTGGAGGCTTTTTTGGCTAGTTAGTAAAAACAACAACAAAAACAGGTATAGAAAATTTAATTTTTGAAGTGCTTTTTTTTGTTGTTTTTTTTTTTGTTAATCCTCACCCAAGAATATTTTTCTATTGACTTTTTATTTATTTATTTTTTATTTTTATTTTTTAAATATATTTTATTGATTTTTTACAGAGAGGAAGGGAGAGAGAGAGAGAGTCAGAAACATCGATAAGAAAGAAACATCAATCAGCTGCCTCCTGTACACCTCCTACTGGGATGTGCCTGCAACCAAGGTACATGCCCTTGACCGGAATCGAACCTGGGACCTTTTAGTCCGCAGGCCGACGCTCTATTCACTGAGCCAAACCAGTTAGGGCTCTATTGACTTTTTAGAGAGAGTGAAAGAGAGGGGAAAGACAGAAAGAAACATTGATGTGAGAGAAACACATTGATTGGTTGCCTCCCACATGACCCGCTCTCCCCAGGGCTGGGGAGGAGCCTGCAACAAAGGTATGTGTCCTTGACCAGAATTGAATCCAGGACCCTTTGGTCCTCAGGCTGATGCAATGTCCACTGTGCCAAACCAGCTAGGGCTTTAACTGTTTTAATACTGCAAATTACTATCACAAACTGAAAAATGTCTCTTGAAAATTGCATATGAAAGATAATGCATACAATATACACTGTTTTTGAAGTTTTATTAATCTAGATATTCTAGCCCCAAGAAATTTCTTATGCATTGGGTCCTTTATTTTATATTCATGATACATAACATAGTATAGGAAGCCACTTAATGTTTAGCACTTTTCCCAATATGTCAGAAAGTTTTCAGTTAACAGTGACCATAGCTTATGTTACAACAATAGTCAGAAGAGTTACTTGCTTGCCAAAACTTTAATTTATTATTGTGGGGGGAAAAACCCTGCAAGGAAAAAAAACCTGTGATGAAAAAAGGAATGTACAGAAATTGTACTTATAATACCTTTCAACATGTGTCTCTTATTAGAATAGGCTTAAGGTAGCGAATTTAGAATTAAATAGAATAAACTGATACCTGGCCCGATCTAATACTGTGGTTACATTTTCCTTGTTACAAAGATGTCCAAATTCTTAAACCCGACTCTCAAAACCATCTGGACTAATCCAACCTGCCTTTATATTATTCCCTATGAAAATGTCACCTGGCCTTGAGTATAATCTTCTCTCTGTGTTCAACCCTGTTCCTTTCCCTCCATGGATTGCCCTCCTATCACTTTATTCATATGAATCCTGCCCATACTGACCAAAGATATAGTTCCCCACTCTAGTCATTTACTGAACACTTATCAGCTATCCTTTCCTGTCTGCTTATAGTTTCTCAAACCATATTATAAGTTCTCTGTGGGCAAACACCATGGGTCTGTCTTTCAGCATATCTAACAATAAGGGGAACCTTCCATAAAATCTCTCTGAAGTGCCACAGTGCTAAGCAGAGTCTAACTAGATACAGAGCCTTCATTAGATATTACTAATTTAACTATTAACCTAGAGGGAAAAGATTGATAATGAAGATTTTATCATGTCTGTAACATAATCGTCTTTAAGAAACCCCAACAATTACTCTTTTGATTAATCTGGTCCCACAGGTCTATAAAACACTTAACAGTAACTCAAAGCATGATGTTTTGATCCTCACAGATACAGTCTTCATGGATTCCACATACAGAAGAGTTTTTTCCTAAATAAATCACAGAAGACCTTAAGTCCTGCTATCGAAGTGCATATCCAAAGTTGTCAACTGTGGCAGAATTATGGTAATCCCCCTTAAAGCTATCTCCCTAAAGTAACCAATCTTCCAAATGCTCTCTGACATGCAACATTCCATCTAACTAGTAAGCTGCAATAGCTCACAAACACTTGTTTAACATATGTGGAATACTTTTGAAGTTAACGTTAACAGGCAGCAATTTGGCAAGATCAATAAAATGTACCTTATTCATTTCTCCCTCTGACAGACTGTTCAAAACACAGAGACAGATATCTTGTGACTATGCTCTAAAAAATTTATTTTAAAAGTGAGAGAAAGAATAGTTCTTAGTATTCTATCAGATCTGTTCACCTAAGCAACAGCATTAGAACTTTCTCTCTAGATTTTAAGCATTGAGAATACAGGGACAAAAATCATGTGTCCACCATTATATCCCAGCACCCAGAACAGTGCCTGGCATTAGCAGACTCACAGTAAATATTTCTAGTAGAAATTAATTAAAGAATAAACAAACAAACGAATGAAAGATATTTCTTCAATAGAAGGGTAGGCTGCAAACCTTTTTATACATCTAAAAAAGCCACAGGGGTCCCATACACCCACTTGGGTAACTGCTATTCCAGCAGCAGGTGAAGATGCTCTGAGCTAATTCCCTCCCTGTCACCCAGAGCAAAACTGCTCAGAGATGGACCCTCTCAGGGTATTGTTGGTTCTAGAAAAGGAGGCACAGATGCTCTGAGTCATGATAGTTAGTTTCCATCAAGAAGTGAGGGGGCATCAGAATGGAAGAGTTCCTTCTCCTTCACCCCTCTTCTCAATATCTGAGGAGAAAGGGCAACCCTGGACACTGATCAACAATTTAAATAGAATCCTGAAAGGTTGAAAGTTCTTAGGATTATTAGCTTTCTCATACTACCTGGGTTTTTCAGCCCATGCTGGACAACCATATATAATAATTTCACATAAAAATTTTAGTTACTTGAGAACAGTCTTCCTTAGAGGGCATGGTTTTCCCTGGGATCTTTTATAGTAGAAGTTCTTTCTTTCTTTCCTTCTATAAATATTCATTGGTCAGCTGTGGATTGCCAGCCTTTACATTTCCCCATATACCAGAGGGCCTGGAGGTAATATATCTTCATTCTCTTAGTTTCTCCCACTGGGAAAATATAGAACAAGTAGATAGAATTCTTACCAATAATACAGGCTACAAGACAATGGAATCATGTTTTAACAAATAACTACTAGTCTACAATTTTCTACCCAACTAAACTATCATTTCAATATGAGGAAAAGCTCAGCTGGTGTGGCTCAGTGTCTGACTATCAACCTATGAACCAAGAGATCATCAATTCGATTCCCAGTCAGGGCACATGCCCGGGTTGCAGGCTAGATCCCCAGTAGGGGGCGTGCAGGAGTCAGCTGATAGATGTTTTTCTCTCATCGATGTTTCTGTCTCTCTATCCCTCTTCCTTCCTCTCTCTCAAAAAAATTAAGAAAAATCAATAATTATGAAGGGAAAATAAAGCCATTTTAAGACAAAAATGAGTGCTTTAACAAGGCTGAGAAGGCAAGTTTACATACTTATCAACTTTAAAAAATTTAACTCAGGGATGTATATTAAAATATTAAAGGTGAAAACTAAAATAATCGAATAGGATACATAATATCCAAATTGGTTAAGAAAAATGGAATGAAGAAAACTCAATTGGTCCAATAGAACAAAGAAAAGGAAGAAAAGTAAATTAAAAAACACAGTAAATTTAAAAGACTAAACAAGACAGCATATATAAACCCAGATTATAATTACATCTAAATTAAATTCATCAATTAAAATACAAAGAGACCCTTAGATTAACTAAAAAGAAAGCCTAGATATTTGTTTACAAAATCCACAAATTAAACAAAAGGTTGAAAGGAAGGGATTGGGAAAAGATTTGTAAAATTATAACTGAATTAAAGTTTTTTAATTAAAATTAATATCAGACTTTAAAAGACTTTAAGTGAAACAACTATTGACATCTACACTAATAAAAGAGAAACATGCTAATTAGCGTACGACCGCTACCCTTCCCATTGGCTAATCAGCATATCCTTATGCAAATTAACTGT